GTGTGTGTGTGTGTTTGTATTGTAGCTGTGGTCCAAAGTAATGAACATGGTTAGTTTAGCAGAAAAATGACACATCCAATTCCTAACTATATAAACTTTTCTCTATCTCACACATTCATTTAGCTGCCAGAAATGACAACATTTTTGGTAGTTAAGTGCCTTTTTAGTGAAAATGGATTTAATGGAAAGTGAGTCTTTTAAACTTGTCACTCCAAATTTATATTAATTTGATGTAATAGCTGAAAGAGTCGAAACTACTTAGCTGCTGCTTCCTTCAGCAATACTGCACAAAGAGTGTAGAAACATGCATACTTTAGCTGTAAGTTGGAGATACAGAGTTGTCAAACTGGCCTTGTTCACTGTTGTTGTTGCAGCTTTCTGAAGCTTGCTTTTAATCAGTGAATTGTGACTCTGTTGTAGTTATCTCTGATAAAATGACACAATTGTATATTCTGTTTTTTACCCTCCGTAGAGCAAAGAAGGGAAGAGCCCCCTGCACATGGCAGCCATTCATGGACGCTTCACACGCTCTCAGATCCTCATCCAAAATGGTAACGATGAGTGCCTGCCGCGATGATCTGTGAGAAAATGTTGCTGCAGGTTTTCTCTCCACCTAATGGGCGTTTGATTCACTCCGTCTTTTCCTGCTTTCCTTCAGGTGGGGAAATTGATTGCGTGGATAAGTATGGCAATACTCCTCTCCACGTTGCTGCTAAGTACGGCCATGAACTGCTGATCAGTACTCTGATGACCAACGGAGCAGACACGGCCAGGTAACGGAAAAGTCTTAAATGATATTACTGATGAGTATAATCATGCCATAAGGTTGTAAAGCCTTTAATATAAAGAAACAACATTCATGTATGTGTGTGCTGCTGTAAGACAGTTGAGTGTGTTTGGGGTCACACTTTCATTGACTACTTGGTTTCTAACCTTCTTTTCTGTGTCTTTTGGGCATTTCCAGACGTGGGATCCATGGAATGTTCCCCTTGCACTTAGCTGTGCTGTACGGGTTTTCAGACTGTTGTCGCAAGTTACTCTCCTCAGGTTTGTGTTTGTTCCATAGATCTGTGCACTCTGCTTAACTTCTGTATCTATGTTTGTATACACTTGGACACAGCTGTTAAAGCGACCTGTTTCTTCATGAACCCTACAGGTCAGCTGTATAGTATAGTTTCATCTATGAGTAAGGAGCATGTACTATCGGCTGGGTTTGACATAAACACCCCTGACAACTTTGGGAGGACCTGTCTACACGCTGCTGCCTCTGGAGGGTAAGATGCAGAATCTGCTCCGTCACTGAAATATTAAAATGAGTCAAAATATTCTTGTATCACATGTCATCTGTAACTCTGCTCCTGTGATCACTCTTCTTTACAGAAATGTTGAATGTCTGAACTTGCTCTTAAGCAGCGGTACTGACTTGAATAAGAGGGACATAATGGGAAGGTGAGTTTCCCCTGATCCTTTTTTGAGATATGTGTTTTCATTTTACTGATGCTGTAAAAGTGATTTAAGTGTCCTTCTCATTCTAAGTGACTGTATTCTGTCTCCCTGCTTCCTCCCCGTAGGACACCGTTGCACTATGCAGCTGCTAATGGGAGGTACCAGTGCACTGTGACCCTGGTGAGCGCTGGCGCTGAGGTCAACGAGCCTGACCAGACAGGCTGTACTCCCCTGCACTACTCTGCTGCCTCCCAAGCCTTCAGCAGGTTGGATAACATGTTTCTCTCATTCTGTATTCTCTCTGACACAACAGAGGCAACACACGCCACCAAATTCTGTTCATGTCTGGCAGAAAGTAGTTTATGAAGTTCGTAAACGGTGTTTCTTGTTCATATGTAGTCTCAGTCAGTCTCATGACTCATTCTTATTCGGTTCAAGCTGTTTACTTTTGTGTAAATATACTAAATAGTTGAACAGCAAGCTTTCTTGGATAGCAGTGTAACAATCTAAACAACACACCAAGGAATGTGTAGCTTTGCTGTGATATATGTTATCCCGACCACAAGAAACTTTATTTTTTATTTGATTTCAGTTTATTTGTTAGTTTATTTAGCAGAAAAAGTCCACATTGATAGAAAAACATTGCTGTAAATGCCCCTAAAAAAAAATTAAATATAAGATTGACTCAAAGTATTTCTTGTTTTCAGAGTCGATCGTCATTTTTCTGGCAACCATCAGAACGATGAGGATGAGGCGAAGGAGTCATACTTGTGAGTTCTTTTCTCTTGTGTCTGACCAGGACTAAGGGGATTATGACTTTAAATTCAATAAAACACAAAAGTTTGTTTGTGGAAAACATTTGCACATTAAGACCGCCAAATGAAATGCTGCTATTCTTTATCCCTGCGCTACATTTTGTCGTCTTTTAATAACAGCTGCTTGGAGCATCTTTTGGACAATGGTGCTGATCCATCCATGGTCAACTCAAAGGGTTACAGTGCTGTCCACTACGCAGCTTACCATGGCAACAAGCAGAACTTGGAGTTGGTGAGTTTTTCTGTTTTAAAAAAAATCTGAAATCACTTAACTTGGTAGATGCATCAGATGTTACAAATTCGACATGTTACACACACTGATTCCACATATTCCACCTAAGCAGATGTCACAAATCTGGTACACGGTAGATGCAAGACTTTCTTATGTCAACAGATTTATTTATTAATTCTGTGCCCTAGCTGAGTGAAATATGTTTCCAGAATTAAACGATGTTTAGGGTGAATGATTAGTTAATAGGATTGTTTTTTAGAGGCTGTGCATGACGACAAATGTTCAGGTGTAGATTTTAAATTTATATTAATATGCGTAGCAAGTTGTGTTTTACTTCTTTCCTCAGTAAATTAAATGAAATCCACCGTTGTGGTTTATTTTTTAGCTCCTGGAGATGTCTTTTAATGCACTAGGAGACATAGAAAGCAGTATTCCAGTCAGTCCGCTGCATCTTGCTGTAAGTGTTTCCCATTTAATCAGCTCTCTGGGTCGACACAGACTGTAATCAAGCTCTTAATGTTAACAAAATCCAGAGTTGTGACGGCCTTCCTCTGCTCCCTCAGGCTGACAAGGGCCACTGGCAGGCACTGCGTGTGCTGACGGAGACTGCGGCCTATGTGGATATGCAGGATGCTGCGGGCCGTTCTGTGCTGTACTTGGCTGCACAGAAAGGGTACGCCCGCTGTGTGGAGGTACTGTTGGCTCAGGGGGCCTCCTGTCTCCTCAATGACAACCGCCTCATGTGGACTCCAATTCATGTTGCAGGTATACTTCTCTCTGATTACAGATTTCATGGTGTAGCATTTTGTCCGATTGTTACCATCCTGACTACAGTCAATTATATGTTGAGAATATACATATATATTTGTAATTCTCACTCTTGTACTCTTTCATCCCAGCTGCCAATGGTCACTCAGACTGCCTGCGCATGATGATTGATTATGGGGAGGAGGGGGATCTCACCAACGTTGCTGACAAATTTGGCCAGTGAGTTGTTTTCTTTTAAAAGTGTGGCTGTAGTTGAATGCCTAACCCTAGCAAACTACTTGACCAATGAGAATGCAGTGAAACACATCTTAATTGTCACCTCTGTCTCCTTCAGGACCCCTCTGATGCTAGCTGTTCTGGGAGGTCACACTGACTGTGTTCACTTTCTGTTGGAGAAGGGTGCCTTGCCAGATGCCAAGGACAAGAGGGGCAGCACATCTTTGCACAGAGGGGTAGGTCAAAAACGCTGCACGTGGCTACAAACTGTAGCAGAGTTAGTTATGTCAGTTATACCACAAAAACTAATAGATAAAAAAAATTGGTGGGTAAACAAAACATAGTGTTACTTAATACAGTAGAAGTTAACATTTACAATGCAAACACAGTAGATTTTAACATTTAGAATGCAAACACGGTAGATTTTAACATTTACAACACAAACAACTTAAGTGTTTCACCTTAATCCTCGCTACCAAATATAGTACTTTAGATAATCTAGTCAAACTGGGAACGTTTTTAAATGTCCAGTGTGTAAAATTGAGTGGCATCGCCGATATTAAGCTATTGAAAATTAAACACATACTTATTTTTTACATATTACTTGTATATAACTTATTTCACATAACTCTCAAACTACTTTAATCACCTTGCTTTTCTCTTTAGTAAGTCTTCTCCACACAAGTCACACACTCTGTCTCTGTTAAAATGTATATGTTTTATAGATAGATTTATGTCTTCCTTGTGT